GGGACACGAAATAAACATAGGTTTGGCGGGATGCGGGATGAATGAAATGGGAGGCGGGATTCGGTATGACAGAAATTTTAACGAAGGGATGCAGGATAGACAATACTTTGGCAGTAGCGGGATGCGGGGTTGTTTCAAAATTGATGGCGGGATGCGGGATGAAAAACAGAAAATAACGTTACGCGGAGAACTGCGACTCTAACCAGGCGGGATCGGGATAGACGTTCTGAGTGCGCGGGGTGGCGGGATTGAGACAAAATTAGTAGCGAGACGCGGGATTTGAACCCTCCGAGTAGCTAGTGGTTTCTAAGTGGAGCTGCCATCCCCCCTTCGAGCGAACCGATGCAAGATTATCGGCAAATCTCTGCCCGGGCAGCTAATATTTGTATTTAGAAAGATCGTATGAACGCTATGGGTGGTTTTATGCCGGCAGGAGAGTTAAGAAATCTCCGAAGTGGTTGAAAAAGGTGTCGATATTATATACTTAACGAGTCCTTGCTGGAATGAGATAAACTAATCAATTACTAATGAGATCATTTGAATTGTTTTATTTCTAATCAAACAAACAATTCACTAATTATATATTAAAAATTTAGTAAGTACGCTTTCGACGCAACTATTTTAACGTTCAAATCTTAAATATATAAATTATTTCAACCGGTCGTACATTTAATTAACACACTACAGATTTATGGTCGTAACTTGTGATTGTACAAGAAACTAGCGAAGAATTCTATATTTAGAGCTGTAAATGAATCAGTGTGAATCAATAATTGAGAGTGAAACAGATCACAGTATGTTATTCAAAATAAACTCCGTACACAGTTGCTGAAGCAAACAGAGATGAGTTTTTGAACTCGAACGAAGCGAAAGTGTCATGGCTCGTATCCCAGAGACATCTGCTTCCAATTCGCATCGCTTGATTCCCCAGCTGACCAATATGCACCAGACAAATGATTTTGTAGCGATGAATGTTCAAATCCTTCACTCGGTTTTTCACTGTGTCCGATATCGACTTTGATAGCTGTCTGCACTGGTCGGCGTCGTATTTGGCTGCCGTTAATCTCTCCGTTAAAATTTCCTTCAGTATCGAACGGACGTCGCCTTCTGGGAACTTTCTATCGGGTGTCATTTTGAAAGTGTTTTCCATCGCTACCTCGGGTCCTCGTCGTCCATCTTGTCTAGAAAATGATGTCGCCATTGACTGTGTTATGGAAGCGGTGCTAGGTGGTCGGGTTCTGTTTGCTCCGCCAGGATTGAGCTCTTTTCCTTTGGTTGGTTTTAAATTCTTCGCTGCCTTGTCCACTTTACTATCCTTCGGCGTCTCCACGTCCGATTTGATTATCTCTGTGCTCATTTTTGCTTCTTATCTGTGTAATTTCGTCGATATCAGATCAATAAACCCAACAAAATGCAAGACAAAGGCTGTCTCAATTTTGTTTTGATAAGCAAACGTCGACAGTAGATGCCCTCCCGTAGTTTGAATTTAAATTCTGATCTTTCAGAGGTCGCCAGAGTTTGTTTTCAGTAGTCGTTATAGCGACCTTGGCAAATAATTACTTTAAGCAACGTGCAAATGTAGATTCACACCTCCATTATCATTATTTAAAAATGTGCCATCAATACTCCTCCATAATCCTTTTATTTCGTTTGTTTAGAGGGGATTTATTTCTTTAAATAGAGACAAAAGTTCATTATGTCCTGAGAAACAAAGAAGTCTTGTGAATATGCAAAACAAAATTATCACTAATGTGAAATATAGACAGTGTTTGTGTTGAGTATTATCAACAATTTTTCAATACAGAAAAACTTTGAATGTTGAATTGTAAAATATATCCACAATTTAGAGCTAACGCCCAGCCTCTACATCAAGAATCCTGCCTTTGAAAATTCGCTTTGTGACCACTCAAAAGCAAAGCTAAACTTTCCAAAGTTCAGGAAAAAAAACTCGTTGATTAATAAGTGCTGGAAATTTTCATAACATCGATAAAAGATGCAATAATTAGTTCTCGTGAAAACAGAGTAAATGCAAACATATTTCAACAAACGGAAACTCTTTAATCTATTAAAATGCCGCAACTGAGGTTATTTCTTTATGAATTTTGAACTGTCCTTTCATTGAAACCTATGTCAGTCCATCTTTGATCCTTTAAAGCAAAACAAAATCAGTTTTGTTATTAAATCAACTCGCTTTCCTTTGGTTTGTAGGACTGAAATTAGAAAATCGAAAATCGCAAAACATCGCCGTGTCAAACTAAATGTCAAATTACAATATCGCGAACGTACTCCATTGAGTAAACACTTATTGTTTGACAAAAACAGCAAGCTAAAATAAAATGAATGGAATTGGATGAGAAAATGTCATTTAAGAACACATTTTAATGTCATTTTTGAACACAGCCTTTTCGCAGTGAGGCCTCTTCAGAATCTGGTTCACTCAAGAGATGAACAAGTCTTTCCATATTAAAAACACTATCGAAAATAGTTCAACAAACGTGACGAAAACCAAAAATGTTTCCTCTTCCCAATGTCAATTTGTATTCTGCAGTAGAATACGTAGACATAACGTGATGAAAATTAATAATGACAATGAAAATTCACCCTCAAAATTCACGCTTTTCATAAACAAGACAGTTTTAGCAACCCTCTCTCTTTTCCTCTCCGTTTCTACGAAACAGTCTGTTTCAAATTCATCTTCTCTTTTCAAGCCCATTCTGCAACATCCTGTTCTTTAGAAACAATCTTCTTGTGGCCATAACGAAAGGAATCTCTTCTTAAGAGCTGTTTCACTGCAATGTAAATAACTTTCTTTGCTCATTTGTTATCTCTGTTCTTGTTTCACTTGCTCCAGAGCTTCTTCGTAGGAAATAGTTTTTGGTCGATTCCTCCTTATAAACTGCGGAAAGAAAAACAAAACATGCAAACTACGATATTGAAGAAAAATAAAATCACACGTTCTTACATATACAGGATGTAAACACTTGAGTACATTTTTACATAAGAACCGTGTTTCCTGCATTCAAGGCCCCGACCACTCTAATGCGTTTTTAAAAGTATCCGTTTTCGTCTCAACGAAAACGAAGCAAAATATTTTCGCCCACAATAGCGTTTTAGGTTTGTTTTCACCTGACCACACTAATGCGTTTTCGTATGAAAACGCACACTTTTTTATTCGTTTTCGCCAATCGTCCACACCAAAGCCTCTGTGTTCATCCGCGTTTGTCGTTTTAGTGGGGATAGGCGAAAACGCATCAAAAAGTATGTTTTCTGGTCACCGAGTAATACCAGTTAATCAACCTTCGTTGATTGACTGACCGGTTTTCCTTTTAGCAGTATAAATAAAGTCTAATATATAGATTTAGGCCAGCCTAAAAGCGTAGCTCCTGGGCCGAGTTGTTCAGAGCCCGATTAAGCTAACCCATGAAAAGGTAGAATTTCGATTTCGTGTAACTTTGCGGTGAGGTTTTCTGTATATTGTTTGGCCTTCTGTTTTGAGCTTTAATAAGCACCATATACACAAAACAAAGCAGCAAAACAACATTTGTATAGAAAAAAAGTTATAATTCGATTAAACTTTTAATCCTGGGTTAGCGTTAACCGGCTTCCAAACAATCCTGCCCTGTTTTCAACAAGTTAACCGGACATGAGCCCGCGATCTAATCGAAAACCAGCACTTGGTCAG